CTGGAAGGACACAGGGGAACTACCTCTATCACCACTTCCTGTGCGGTGAGCAGTTTGGAGCTTTATGCTTCCTGCTGCTTCTGTTTAAGGGTTTGGATGTCATTTCTGGCATTGCTGAGGAGTTTAGGTAAAATAAAGTTAGAAGAATTATCTTTTAAACCTATTTAAAGAATCACAGAAATATTGAAACACTGTAGCTGGACTGTTAATAATTGTAAATCACTGAAATTTAGGAGGTATGGCCTCTGGAAACTTAAGCAGGATTCAGGCTTGAAACTCTGTCCCTCATTTTATTAATTATGTTTAATGCCCACACCTGAAACAGAAAGGATATTTACGGTACAGTTTCATTTAGAGGTTATGTGAACATAATTAATAAAATACATTTCCAGTTTCAGAAGAGGTTTGGCTTCTTTTTCTTCTAAATCCTTTGGGAATTCAAATTCCCAAAGCCTTCAAAGCAAAGCAAAAGAGAGGTTTTCTCAAAGCATTTACACTTCATCACAAACAGGTTTTTAGGTGTGAGGTGGATGGTCTGTAGGTGTCACAGTAACTCACTGCTCTCTGAGTGTCTCTTTGCTCTTCTCCACCAAAGCATCCCTCAGCTCTTCGGCAGTGATGTGCAGTGGGATTTGATTTTCCTGCTGAAGTCTAAGGAACTCCATCTTCATTGCAATCTAAAAATAAAAGGAGACATTTAATCACCACCACTCTCCGGTCCTCAGAAATCACCTGATATTTGATCTCAGTTTTGGTTTGGACGGATATGGGTCTTACTTGAGCTCTGAAGCCCGGAAGATGCCAGCAGATCTTCACAGCCATGTTGTAAATGGGTGTGTTGAACAACACCTGTCAAAGAAATAAAAAATTACTCATTGTTACTTAAGTCTATTCTCAGTTTGTCAGCTTTTAAAACTACATCAAATTCTTCAAACTGTTGAAATGCAGCAAATCTAAGACTGTCACATAACCTGATGGGTTTGTAGAGTCCTCTGCTTGCTTCCATTGAAATGTTGCTGTTGTATCAAAGTTGGGGACAATACCTGTTAAATACTCTCCAAAACTTGCGTAAGATAAAATGTAGGTGTGAATGAACTCAATGGTTTCTCTTCCACAGATGAGCTGTTTTTAAAGTCTGATGCAGAATTACAAATGCAGGATTTTCAGGAGTGATCCATGAATGTGATGCTACATTAGAGTCTGTCTCTGAACTGGTTATTTGCTGCTCTATGATTTCAGTTGGAGGAGATGAACCCACAGCTTGAAGTGGTTCGACTTTATAGTTATGTTAAAATTGGTTTAAACCTCAGACAACAGCTGATCAGAAGAATTGAGTCTGCTTTATAAAGTCCTGCTACAGAAAGAGAACTAAGGCAGCCACATCCACACCTGTATCTGCCAACACAGCATTAATGATTTATCTTCTCAGTGTTGCCATATTGTGTTTGGTGGCTAATACAACTATAAGCAGAAAATCCAGTTTTGAAAATTCAATACTACAGTCCCACATTATGAGATGTTATCCCAAACAGTGTAAGGTTTTTTTTCTGTCCACCAAAGTCAATATGGTTCAAGAGATTTTTCTAATTTCACGTGTCCAAAAAGCAAATGAAGAGATTGAACATACACTGAACTACAGTCAGAGTTAGCAGAGCTACCTACCTACCGTAGCTCAGTTCATGGACTTGAATTAGGAGGGTTAAGAGAAGTGAATTCAGTTGACTGCAATCTACTGGCAACTAATGGTGACATTGTAACTTTAGTGGTACCTGAAAAAGGGCCAGGCGCTGCACTGCTTCAGCCTGAGCCTGTGCAGTCGGCACACACAACCTGTGTGTCTAATATGTGAATAAAAATCAGTGAAGGTTTTCCTCCCTTTTCCAATCAAAAGTTCCCAGTAGAGTTTTTGACCTTCAGCACCATGGAGCTTTTAATTTGTTTATTGTGAAGCAGTGGGCCAGAGCTACACTCGGTGTACTTAAGATGACTGATTCACTGTTTCACATCTTGTGCTACGCGCACTGAGCGTTACTAATAGCTTTTGCTTTGGTGTATTTTGGACTTTTCAATAATAGAGCCATTGATGAAACGTTCCCAAGTGTGGGAATATTTACAGTTGGTGCTACAGAATTAGTTTATTCTCCATATTTATTCAAATATAATATACTCATGGTGGCATATTATTCAAGAGTTGCCTTTCTTACTCACTGGGAAATAAATATGGGAAGATGGTAAGATGAATATTGGGAAATGAGATAAAGAAATGTGGGTAAAAACAATGAACTGACGACATCAGTGCAGGGTTTGTATATAAACACATCACAACATAGTCATACCTACTGCCTCATTGCATTATGTAATATCCTCCATGTCAATTATGTAATTTACAATCAATGACAAACCCATTTCACTATATTTTTTTATGTTTTTTTATTATTATTTTATAGATGGAATTACTCAGGCAGATGTCTTTAGTACTGGATATAGACAACAAAGACCTATCAAATGAAGTCAGATTTGGCTGTGCAACAACCACTGTTGCCAGTAGATGTCCACTATGAGTGCAATGAATGAAGCTTGGGGTAGTTGGCCAGTTTTTAACACAGTTGTAGAAAAAGGGATCAGAGCTTCATAAGCCTTGTTTTGCCATCCCTGCTGTTATTGCTTCCTGTCAGTTTGCTCTAACCTCTGTTTCTGTCACCTCCAGTAAATGTGACTGTGTGTGTGTACACAGACTTATATGCAGCCTAGAAGCCACTGCATTTCAGACAGTTTTTTTTCTCTGCACTTTTAGCAACCTGTAAATAAACCTGTGTAAACTTTTTCTCAGTGACCTATGAATGAGCACTGCTAAATCTCTCAGGAACAGTGGTCAGATATCCAGCTAGACTTATACCAGAAGGTTTTTGGTGGCTGCTAAAAGCATCTGGTTGTGTGCCACTTGCTAAGAGAATATTTAAGCCTCTGGGGTGTCCAGATCACATGAACGATGATGTATAGCAGCAAGATGCAGCCTGGTTTTCAGATGTGAGAGATTTGTGTGTTTGGAATGTACAGTTATGAATGCAGATTGCAATGTAAATGATGTCTCGGAGGACTGATGGACCTCCTGCTGTCAGGCCTGCAATGTGCTCCTCTGTTTGTGTTGCATCTTATTGCAACACCTGATTGTTCTGTAAATAGATGCACAAAAAACACCTATAGTATTTTTTTTATTGAACTATACACCACTTGTTATTTCATGTATTTGTTGCATGCCCCTATATTTATTTTCTTCTACTTAACCAATTCAGGGTCATAGAGGCTCCTCCCTACGACCACCCGGGACAGGCTCTGTGTTTTTAGCCCATCCATAACAGGGCTAAAACACAGAGACAACCATTCATGCTCACACTCACACCTGGCTTATCTTGAATCACCCATGAACCTAACATGAATCCCTGCTAATAACAGAAAACCATTCACTTCTAAACTTTCATTGATTTATTTAATTTATAAAGTTATAAACTTATTTAAAAGCTACAAAAATAGGATTTTCCATTAAAATTAAGAACTGAACTTAAATAAAGAAACTACTACTGTTAAGAATGAAAGAAAAATACTTATTACAAAAAATGAATGATGAATCAGGATAGACTTTTATTTTATATATAGCTTGTAGGCCAAGTGAGGAAGTAATTACATAATACTTGATGATACAATGGCCTGGCTTGGGGGTCAATAGCAGAAGTAGCAGCCTGTAGAAGGATGCCAGTTAACATCATTCAGTGTTGGTGAATAAACACAGGCTGGTCTGTATCTCTCCCTCAAGCCTCCTTTACTTCTTTAGAACTACTGGCCATTTAAACAACTCCTCTGTATTTGTATCAAAGCACCCGTGGTTATGTATTTATTACTGCAATGTTATTTATTGAAGGGTCTGTGCCTTACATTATTAAGCATCTGTATAATTAAAATGGAATTGAATTGAATATTTAGTCAGTTTATATTTTACGTTAACCTATCCATCCATCCATAAATTGTTTAAGTAAAACCTGTAATTGCATCTTCAGCCAAAATGAGAAATTTAAAGAAGATAAGTAGTCATACTATCATAAACAAAACTTAATGCCAGGGTGCTGGAGTAAGGATGTGGCAGTTGGAGTATTAGAATATATCAGGAAATGTGGGACATACA